AGTTAGTGGCAGAGCGAAGCTGAATGCCATCTACACACCTTTTGGCTTGAATACACCAAAAAGGGCACAGAAAGTTCATAAACATATTTGGTCGAAACTGGTTGCTCAATAAGGCAGATTTGGCAGCCTGTCTCCAGCAACTTGGGCACCATGCCCAAAACCCAGGAAGGAGGCAGCTGGTAGATGGGTAACATCAGGTGAAACAACTGGACAGCAGAAGCCTAGATCTAGTTTGGCAGCTCTTCCTGGGTTTCAAACATCTCAGGACGCAAGGAGAAACCCCACATGAGGCTGAGAAGCAAAATGCCACCTTGTCTCACACACACTGGAGATGTTAGCTAACCAGGGATTTGCTGTGTATCCCACTTGGACATCTTCTGTGTAATACCAGCAATACACATACTACTGGTTGAAAACCATGAAATGTCCCACACAGACCATCACAAACCAAATAAAGCAAAATAGATTTTTTTTAAGTCACCCCACTTGATGAGTCCATCTCCTAGTTCATTTTGAGATCTATCAAGCTACCAAGTTAATCAAGAGGACAAAACAGAGGGTCTCTCTCATCACTTAGGACCATCTATGCCAAGCATGTGCAGAGAATATATGCTAAATATCTCCATCCCTTGTGAGGTGTAGATTTTTGAAGGCACCAGGCTAGAAGCCAGGAGACCATGAATTCTAGTCCCACCTTAGGTATAATGCCAGCTGGATGACCTTGGGCCAGTCACTTTCTCTTAGCCCTAAGAAAAAGAAGGCAAGGGCAAACCACTTCCCAAAATGCTGCCAAGAAAACTGCAAGGACTTGTCCATGTAATCGCCAGGAGCCAAGACTCGAAGGCTCCAAAAAACCAAAAAGTCTTGATACGTATTTGTACCAGTAATTTTGTTGCATGATGATGATGATGACGATGAACTACAGAACTTGTATGCTGCCTAGCTCTGCTCGACTGAAGCGGTCCAGAAGTAGCAGTGTAAATATATATAAAAAGCATGAGTGTTCAGTTGGAGAAAGTTCCCTATTTCTTCTGGCCAAAAATGAGATCATGTAGACCAGATACATCAGAATCTTCTCTGCAATTCACACACTTTGGTGCCAGGAACGGGGCTCTACACAACACAGGAGGAAGGGGGAAAAGGTCTCAGCCACTGCAAGACTCACAGTCTGCAAGCTTCGTCACAGCAGCGGACGGGTTTTGAACTGCAGAAATATGTGTGGTCCAATCGGATTCAAAAACTCTGTCTTAAGCCCCTACTAGTCAATTTCAATCAAAACTACAAAGCTGCCTATTTTGTAGCATACATCACATTGAGCCACTACAACATTTGGCAATTATACTCAATATTTTACATGGCAGCAAGCAAAGATGTCATCTGATGTTTTTCAAGCAACGGGGAGCAGGGTTGGCTGCTATGTATCTCCTTTTTGGGACCATCTGAAAAATCTGGCAATACATCAGCAGAAATTCATGGGGCAATTCATTCCTGCCCTTCCCAGGCACTGGAAGATACCCACCCCAGTTCCTCTGCTGAAATGTTTATTATTTCTTGACTGGGTGCCTTTGTATGCTGCCTTTTTGGGTAACCCCTCCCTTTCAAGACAGCCACAAAAGCCAATACAATACATATACTGGACAACACAGTACCTACAAAAGACAAATTAATTAGAAGGTTAAACCACCAGAACCATCCAACCATAGAACTGAATAAAAACATCCACTAAATGCTAGGTGGAATGAAAAAAAAAGTTTTTAAAAATGTTATTTCAAGGTTGTTAACAGGGCAGGCACGTACACCTTATGGAGAAGTGACTTCCAAAGCTGTGGAGCCACCACCATAACAAAGCATTTCACCCAAAACCTTTTTTTCCAATTGGTTCCCAAAGCGTCTATCTTGTGCACAGCAAACCACAATGTCTTGTGCCAACACACTGCTCCTTGTCTCACAACAGGGCAACGACCCCTGCAGCATCTCAGCCCACCCACATCATGGCTCTGCACCAGAGGCCCTGGAAGACTTCCAGGCATAATTCCCAGCAAAAAGGCCCCAAAGCCCCTTTTCAAACTTCTCCCTTTCCACAATAACTTCTTCTGAAACCAAAGCAAGTTTCAGACTGAGGGAGCAGCAAAAGGCCACGGAATAAGCAGTCAAAACCACGTCCCTGCAGCTCTTTCACCTGAAGCTCTCACAGAACATGTGTAATCTCCCGCCTGCCCAAAGAAAGGAGAGGACAGATTTAAAACAAACAAAAACAGTATTTTCTGAGTCTCAGATCAACGAACAGCATTTGGGATGGTCCTTCTACCATGCCAGTCTGCAGCACAGAAAGGAAGAGGAACCCAGTTCCAGCACAATGAGTTGAAACAAAGAGAAGGAATCCACCAACAGTGTTGGCAGGGGGGAAAACAGGCACTTGGGGGAGTCAGCAAAGGTTGGGGCATGTTGTGTAATGTGTGCCATTTGTGCAATGATGTCATCACACACACGATATCACTTGTGAGCCTTAGCCCCCCTGCAGAAGAGTTATATCCTAATCTTTAGTATGACTTTTAAGGGTGATTTGATCCCAAAAGTCTTTTAAGAGAAAAGGGTCAGGTGCTGCCCCTTTGTTGGCCCCCTTAGCAATACCCCAGAAATGAGAAAAAGAACTGGTTACTTCTTGGTAACTGTGGTTCGCTGAGGCTCACCTGGGAATTCATGCATCCTGTTCAGGATCTTCCAGAGCCAGGATTTAGGGGAGAAACTCTTTAAGCTTATGTGCAAAGATCAGGGTCCACCAGTCTGAAGACAAGCATGGCAGATCCAAATGAAGATGAAGCCTGACAAGCTACTAACAGCTACAGCAGCTCCAAGGACAGCGCTGTCCTCTCCAAGCTGCACCCTGTTAGAACTGAAGGTCCAACTTGTAAGGTCTGATGGTAGGAGTCTTATGGGAGGCAGATAAGTCACTATAAAGAGGACCCGTTTCTCCATGATTATTGCACCCAAGTAATTATTGCAGGAAGTGGCAGAGTCCATTTCTGAACTGTAGTCTCTCGCATCTAGGGGACACAAAGCTATCACCTAGATGCTTAGACAACCTCCTGTGAGAGCAGGGCTACATCCTGGCTACCTGTGGAAACGAGGAGGCCAAATGGAAACTGGCTTGGCTGCCCCTTCCCCAGCTGAAGCACACTGCTTCTCAGTAACCCATTCAAACAGCATCCTCTAGCAGAATCTGTAATCATATCGAATCCTGTGATCCAAGGTGTCATCAGTCTTGGAGCTGAGGAAACCTTCCTTGTGAACGGGAACTCCTTATATGGGCCCTCAACTCCTAAGAGAGAACAGAGGATTGTTGGACTGTTATGCGAGCCATCACAAGGCAAGGGAGATACAGGTCCGAGTTGATTACTCTGCTCGGTATGAAGCACTTTAATAACCTCACATGGGAGATACAGTAAGTGAAAAAGGAGAATGGATTCTCCCAAAGAAAGCGGTGGAACAAGCCTGGCCAAATTATCACCTCCAGCCAACTAGCTTTGGTCCTTCCTTTTCCATTGTGTGGAATGATGATTATGAAGCCTGATCCAAATGAAGAGACCTCAACGATTATTCAGTCTGGAGGCTGGTGTGGAATCAGAAACAACCCTCATCCTACACACTGCAGAGATTCTCCAGGCATTTCAGAACCAACACCACAAGCAATTATTTCAATCCGGTTGGGCCGATAACATGAGTACTTGCGTTACCGTCGCTGTCAGGTCCTGAAGAGTTGAAAAACCAGGTTGTGAACTGCTTTTTTAGGCTGCTTCACTTCAAGCCCAACATCCCCACTGGCTGCACCCTTCTACGGTTAGCAGTGCCAATCCACAAACTGTCATCCCAAGAAATAAGAACCCACGAGGATTCAGTGGCTCAATCCTCTGCTGTCGAGACGGTGCTACTTTCACAGACAGTGGAGTCACAGATGATTTTCTCAAGCCTATTATCCAGCCAAACCGACTCATGTTTTACAATAATTCTGAATAATCTTCATGAACACCACGGCTCACCAACTTCCCTCCTCCTCTGTACAGTTCATAAATAAAAAGTTGGCACCCTGCGTGAAAGCAGTGCTGACTTCACTTGGATCAAGTAGCTATTTTTAGGAGAGGAATAATCAATTGTTTGAGGAAGGTAGTAAATGGTATACTTCAATTTTAAATTCCTGAAATAGCAATTGTTTTGACACTGTCAAGTGCTACTAAATTGCTGGTGACAGAAGTTCCTAGATAAAGCATCTGGTTCTTAATTTTTAAACTGTTTTCAAACAGTAACAAATACTGAATAATCAGCTTTTTTTAAAAAGGAGTATCAGCATTTTCTTTTATTTCACCAAGTAATTGAAGAAGTTTATTCTGATTTTAAAATTCATTTTCCTTCTTTTCAAGCCAGCTGCCAGCTTCATTTGTAGAACTTTATAATATATTCAGACACCTTAAACTAATTACTGGAAAACTGCAATTGATCATCCATTGCAGGGCTCTTCTCATGGAGAAAGAGTTGAAAGTCTCCTTCCTCGTCCTCAGGGCTAACTGGTGGTGGGGGACAACCAGTCATCCCCAAGCCAGCATGGTAAGGGGGGGATTGTCATCTCCTCCCTTACCCAGAAATCACCAACCTGGAGATCTTGGAAAAAACAGGCGATGTTCAGGATGAAGATGGGGGGGGGGGGGGGGGGGGGAAAAAAAA